ACAAAATTGACAATGAACTCGCTTGTTGCTTATTTAGCCCTGTATTTTTGAAGAAAAATTAGGGATTAGGGTTTGACTGACGTCCACGGCTTAGATATGCGAAGAAGAAAAAATTGATGATCGTTTTGAACAAATATAGTTCGAGATATACATGCTGAATGTATGTAATATTTGTTCGTTTTGTAGGGTACTATACTGTTGGGAGTAACTTTTGCGGCGCTTATGATTAGGAGAAATGAAAGTAATCGTTAATGAATAATACATATTCTTTATATCACTGATAAACTATAGTTGAGGAAGGCTCACATATGCCGGAATGTAATATCTCAAACATAGTAGAAGAGCAACAGTAGTTTGTGGCTCTTGGAAGGTTGGAATCGATGACAGATGCTGCTATAACTGAATGTAGAGATTGTGTGGTGGAGCTTGAAGATGACTTATTGAATGTTATGATAGGGATGCCCCAACCTTTGATGTCATAGACTTGGGGAGGAAACGGTGGACTTGAGAGCATGTGTGTGTGGTATGGTGATGATGTATAACCTATTCGAGTTTTTTTCTTGCTAGAAAAAGAGTGTTGGTGTCCCAATTCTTGTTGAAGAATCCGTGAGCATCAAAAGAAATGTAAAAATTATTATCAACAGCAAGACAACCAATAAAATTATATTATGAGATAGTTTTGGAGCATTGTTGAGATGGGATAATTTTAACTTGCAATTTTGGGTTGGGATAAAACATTGACCTTTTGTGAGCTATAGGATTCAAATTCGCATCACACATTGTAACCTTTACAGGTCCACAATATGGATGTGATTGTCATTAATGATCTTGATTTGTTGTTTGATGGGAAGAAGCTCCAGAATCCAAGTACCATTGTTGTGTCAAATTTTGATGTCACGTGTGTAAGGTGCCTGCTTGACTAGCTCCAGACAGCTCACAACTCATTCATAGGATCTCGTTGCTCAAGACACCCATCTGAGACCTCTGGTATGTGTTCGTGGCAGGAAGCCAGGGTTTACGACGATTCACCCTTACCCGAGAAAATTCGCCATTGAGCGGGCCTACTCAAGGACATTGAATATGTTTAATGTCCATGCTAGCATTTAGAGGTCCCTCTGTATTAGTTCGAACCCCACACCTCCCCCCTCCCAGGCCCCCGAAAATTTCTCGATAGGTTGGTGTTAGCCATGATGCCAGACATGTTTTATATATGTTATGATGTTGGGGGGCCCAAATAGATCAATCCAGGCTCTTCTGAGGCCAAGGGTCCTCGCCATGAGTCTCCACGCACTTTTTAGATAGATTCAGGTTTGGATCAATTTTACCCTTCAGGGGGCCCGGGTCACCCTTCGACACCAAAAACCCATTTTGAAACACCTAAAATGTATATTTCTTGTATTTTCAGGTTGTATTTTAGGGATGCACAATTTTTTGTGGCATTTGGATCGATGAAAACATCGCTACGGACTTTCGGGTGAAAATTAGGGATTTTGAACGTCTGGGTCGTACCCAACCTCTGGACGAC